TATTTCTGGTGATATACGTATATATTTCTTTATTTATTCGGAATAATAAGGTATTAATGTTATTTTAGGAGTCATTGGAGTAACCGAACTAGATGAAAGTCATACTTCCAAATATTTAGGTGAAGTTTTTGTTAATACAGTATCAGAATGGGGCATTGAAAAAAATAATGTAGTGGCTGTAACAACAGATAGTGGGGCTAACATAAAAAAGCAGTAGTTTCCGAATTTGGAGAAAAACGACATTTAGCATGTTTAGCACATACTATTAATTTAATTGTGGAAAAAGGTATTAGTAAGACCCAAGAAGAAGATGCCACAACTAGAGTTAAAAGTGGAGGAGTTCCCCAATTACTGCATAAAGTTAGATGTATTATTAAATACTTTAAAAAAAGTACCAAGGCGTGTGATGAATTAAGAAGTGTTCAAAAGTCAGAAGGTAACAAATACAATTATTAATAATTTTATGACAAAATAATAATTCCTTTTTTATTGTTCAATTTACAGGAGTGTCCGAAGGGAAATGCAGAAAATTAATACTTGACGTACAAACGCGCTGGAACAGCTCATTTTACATGGTAGAACGATTTATTTCAATGTCAACTATTATTTCAAATATTTTACTTTCTCGAACGGGTAATGAAGTTCCGGAAATGTTGTCGGAACGAGATCTTCAGTCTTTAAAAGAAATCTGTTTGCTACTTGGGATAATTGAGAAACTAACAAAGGAGCTATCAACGGAAAAGTATGTCATGTCAAGTAAGATCATCCCTGTTATAGTGTGCACTCAAAATTTAATTAAAAACGAGAAACCAGTTTTTAATATTGCAAAAAATTTGCAAATTAAACTTTTGGAAGAGTTTGCATACCGGTGTGGGAAGTTGGAATATAACCCAATATTATCTATTTCCACTATACTTGATCCAAGGTTTAAAGATATATATTTTATAGAACCACAAGCCAAATCAAAAATATTAAATACACTAGTAAATTTGATCGAGGCACAAAACCCATTTGCAAACAACGATGAGATCTGGGAAAATGAAGTAGAAGATAATGTTGATTCTACTAATAATAATAATTGCATTGATCTTTGGAGCCTACACAGGAGTCTTGAGAAAAAACAAAAAAATAAAACGAAGTCCGGATCTCATGCGAGAGATGAGATACATTCTTATTTGGATAAATCGGTTATTGGACTCAAAGAAGATCCGATTATTGAATGGGAAAATATCAAAGGAGCTTTTCCAAATCTATATAAACTAGGTAGACAATATCTTTTTATATCAGCCACATCAGTACCATCAGAAAGATTGTTTAGTAAGACCGGTAACATTATGACTAAAAGTAGAAATAGAATATTAGGCTCAAGATTGTCAAAACTAGTATTTTTACAATCATTAGATGATAAGTATTGGCTCTGAATTTCTAATTTTCTAAATGTTTTACCTTACAAGTTGTAAAATTTATAATATTAAATGTACACATAATTATATATTAAAATATTTACTTGTTATTAAATCATAATATTACCTATTAATATTATATATAAAATTATATCGATATATCGATATTTCGATATTTTGATACCTATAAAAAGTTTACATCGATATTTCATTCATCGATATATCGATATATCGATATATCGAACCATTGTCGTTTTTGCGCATCCCTAGTCGGCACGGAAAAATACTCACGCAAAGAGACGATGTTTGTTCAAGACAAAACGAAACAAAAAAAACGGAACTGCAAAAATTAAAAAAACGACGAAGACGACGAAAAACACGACGAACACTTCGGAGAACAAATTGGAAAATGACCCCGATGCGCCGCAGCGCACCCATATTTATAGACAGAGGCCACGCCACTAGCGCTGCGACACTAGCGCTGAACACTACGGATGTTTCGTAACGTTTCGTAACGTTTCTTAACGTTCCGTAACGTTTCGTATCGGAGAAGCGTAACGTTTCGAACCGTTTCGTAACGTTTCGAACCGTTTCGTAACGTTCCGTAACGTTTCGTATCGGAGATGCGTAACGTTTTGTATCGATGTTGCGTAACGTTTCGTATCGGAGATGCGTAACGTTTCGTATCGATGTTGCGTAACGTTTCGTATCGGAGATGCGTAACGTTTTGTAACGCTTCGTATCGGAGATGCGTAACGTTTTGTAACGCTTCGTATCGGAGATGCGTAACGTTTCGTATCGGAGAAGCGCAACGTTTCGTATCGATACGCAACGTTACGAACCTCCGATACGCACCTCCGCTACAAAACGTTACGCACCACCGATACGAAACGTTACAAACCACCGATACGAAACGTTACAAAACGTTACGCACCACCGATACGAAACGTTACGAACCTCCGATACGAAACGTTACGCATCACCAATACGAAACGTTACGCACCACCGATACTAGACGTTATAAAACGTTACGAAACGTTACGAACCTCCGATACGCACCTCCGCTACGAAACGTCACGCATCACCGATACGAAACGTTACGCACCACCGATACGAAACGTTACGAAACGGGGGTCTGGTGTATTGAGAAGGCGATGTATCTGTGATCGCTGGCGGACTCGACGTTTGCCAGAACGCTTCAACCCCGTACGACGGCAGGCGCTGCGAGGCGGGAAAACGTGACGTCTATTATGGCCATCGGTCGAAAGGGCGAAAAGTTGACTACCGATAAACATCTATAATCCGTTGTTGACGTCGGGTGGTCCTCGTCCGCCGGAATCCGTCTTAAGATATCCGGTTATCGATTGTTGAGAAAAAATATCACGGACCGCGGTGACGACTCCAAATTACCCGGCGACTGTCCCTTGACCGCGGTTCGTCTCCCCGTAGGACGACATACCGCTACGCACCGACTTAGTCGATGTACGCGTGTAGCCGGTGCCAAATTGTAGTTTTGAAAAGCTGTATTCTGACAGTAGGAGTCCGGGGAATGTCAACCCCGGGGACCGAATCGAGAAAAAATTAATATCCCCCTTCAACCTGTAAATTCCCTGGATTTGTCCCCGACAGTCAGTCATCGATTCTGTGACTCCCGTCGGATATCATAGTGTAAAATACCACAGGATTAAGAGCGATAAGAATTTAGTGAATCAACATGTGGTTGAGTTCAACCTCGAGAATGTCCGATAGACGGGGACACGGGAGGGAAAATGATTACGAAAATCAACTGGTGGTTGCGTTCAATCTAGGGAATGACCGACTACCGGGGCACACCGTCCGGGAACCTCGGATCGTGGGGTTCAACCTCGGGAATGACCGACTGACGGTGACAATATCTTGGGGAAAAGGAGGATGGAACGATGCACGGTGAAATCCAAAGTGTCCGGCCGGTTTGCGGACCGACTCCCCGGTACTCACGTCCGAAGTCGAATTCACTTTCAACTATTTCCTACCACTATATCTCGTGTAATATTCGTCCTAGCTCTATTCCACCTCTGTCCATTCACGTTTCTCTTTCAATGCACTATCCGCTGTTAAAGTTTGAAAGCCGTCGGTTGAAAGCCCGCAAAGTTAACTTCCGAAAAATATCGAAAATCTCACGGGGACACGGTCGGGGAATTTCGGGATTGAAGCTTTTAAACGTATTCTATGCAGGCGCCGTCTCCGGGGTTGACGTCGGGTGGTCCTCGTCCGCCGGAATCCGTCTTCAGATATCCGGTTATCGATTGTCGAGAAAAAATATCACGGACCGCGGTGACGACTCCCAGCTACCCGGCGACTGTCCCTTGACCGCGGTTCGTCTCCCCGTAGGACGACGTACCGCTACGCACCGACATAGTCGATGTACGTGTGTAGCCAGTGCCAAATTGTTGTTTTGAAAAGCTGTATTCCGACAGTTGGAGTTCGGGGAAAGTCAACCCCGGGGACCGAATCGAGAAAAAATTAATATCCATCTTCAACCTGTAAATTCCCTGGATTTGTCCCCGACAGTCGGTCATCGATTCTGTGACCTCGGGAATGGCCGATTGACGGGGACACGGGAGGGAAAATGTTTACGAAAATAAACTGGTGGTTGCGTTCAATCTAGTGAATGACCGACTCCCGGGGCACGCCGTCCGGGAACCTCGGATCGTGGGGTTCAACCTCGGGAATGACCGACTGACGGTGACAATATCTTGGGGAAAAGGAGGATGGAACGATGCACGGTGAAATCCATAGTGTCCGGAAGGTTTGCGGACCGACTCCCCGGTACTCACGTCCGAAGTCGAATTCACTTTCAACTATTTCCTACCACTATATCTCGTGTAATATTCGTCCTAGCTCTATTCTACCTCTGTCCATTCACGTTTCTCTTTCAATGCACTATCCGGTGTTAAAGTTTGAAAGCAGTCGGTTGAAAGCTCGCAAAGTTGACTTTAGAAAAATATCGAAAATCTCACGGGGACACGGTCGGGGAATTTCAGGATTGAAGCTTTTAAACGTATTCTATGCAGGCGCCGTCTCCGGGGTTGACGTCGGGTGGTCCTCGTCCGCCGGAATCCGTCTTCAGATATCCGGTTATCGATTGTCGAGAAAAAATATCACGGACCGCGGTGACGACTCCCAGCTACCCGGCGACTGTCCCTTGACCGCGGTTCGTCTCCCCGTAGGACGACGTACCGCTACGCACCGACATAGTCGATGTACGTGTGTAGCCAGTGCCAAATTGTTGTTTTGAAAAGCTGTATTCCGACAGTTGGAGTTCGGGGAAAGTCAACCCCGGGGACCGAATCGAGAAAAAATTAATATCCCTCTTCAACCTGTAAATTCCCTGGATTTGTCCCCGACAGTCGGTCATCGATTCTGTGACCTCGGGAATGGCCGATTGACGGGGACACGGGAGGGAAAATGTTTACGAAAATAAACTGGTGGTTGCGTTCAATCTAGTGAATGACCGACTCCCGGGGCACGCCGTCCGGGAACCTCGGATCGTGGGGTTCAACCTCGGGAATGACCGACTGACGGTGACAATATCTTGGGGAAAAGGAGGATGGAACGATGCACGGTGAAATCCAAAGTGTCCGGAAGGTTTGCGGACCGACTCCCCGGTACTCACGTCCGAAGTCGAATTCACTTTCAACTATTTCCTACCACTATATCTCGTGTAATATTCGTCCTAGCTCTATTCTACCTCTGTCCATTCACGTTTCTCTTTCAATGCACTATCCGGTGTTAAAGTTTGAAAGCAGTCGGTTGAAAGCTCGCAAAGTTGACTTTAGAAAAATATCGAAAATCTCACGGGGACACGGTCGGGGAATTTCAGGATTGAAGCTTTTAAACGTATTCTATGCAGGCGCCGTCTCCGGGGTTGACGTCGGGTGGTCCTCGTCCGCCGGAATCCGTCTTCAGATATCCGGTTATCGATTGTCGAGAAAAAATATCACGGACCGCGGTGACGACTCCCAGCTACCCGGCGACTGTCCCTTGACCGCGGTTCGTCTCCCCGTAGGCCGTTTCGGCGTTCGAGAAAAAATGAAGCCTGACTTCAATCCTGCGAATTCCCAGAATTTGTCCTCGTGAGTTAGACATCGATTTTTCTGAAAAATTTTCTAAGTCCAGACCTCGGATGACCGCGATGCCAGACAGCCCACGATTGACCACTGCTGCGGCGGCTTTAGCGACCGAAAATAATTTTACGAGACAATAGGTGGATTTCAATCCAGCGATTTCCTCGTTGTTGATACCATCGGAAAGTGATAGCTTGGGGAATCACGCGGCACTGAGTTCAATACTGGAAATCACGAGGCAAAAAAATATTTCCCGTATTGGCCGGCACTGGGATAGACTTGCGAATGGCTCCCTCAAGGGTTCACCTGGCCCCGTCAGAGTGTGGCCCGTGATGTAGTTTTTGAGAGTTTGCTATTTATTTAATGTGGATTGAGCGTCGGGAATTTCAGGTTGTAGTTCGGATTGGCATTGCGAACTTAGGGTAGAAAGACGGTTAACACGAAGTTCAATCTGAGAGAGTTTTGAAAAAAAATGACCGAACCACTAGGACAATTGTCCTCACTGACGGGGACAAGTTCAACCTCAATACTCCCGAGCAATGATTTCAATCCGAGAAAATCTAAAAATCTTGAATATCCCAGATTGAACGGCGAAAACCAAATCTGGGGAACGTATACTAGTCTGGGGAACCAGTCTGGGAAAGTATCTTTTGACAACCGGGGAGAATATCAAGTCAGTACGTAGCTGTACGGTAACTTATAAACCGTTCCGCGGCCGACCGTCTGTGACAACATTCAAGTCGGTGACCGGGGAACGAATCGAGTGCTAGGAGAAAAATGTTTTCCCCAACTCGTGACTCACTGATGGTGTCAACGACGAGGCATTCGCCGGAGAATCTGACCGTTATAACGTTAAATTTAATTTATTTCCACGCTTGTTTCGTAATCATTTTCCCTCCCGTGTCCCAGTCAATCGGCCATTCCCGAGGTTGAACGCAAATCTCACGGGGACAGTGTCCTCCGGGGAGACGAATCGCGATCAAGGGAAAGTCGCCGGGTAGCTGGGAATCGCGACCGTGTAAAATAAATTCGTGCGTATAAGTACGGTCTTCTACGGGGAGACGACCCGCGATCAAGGGAGAGTCGCCGGGTGGCTGTGAGTCGTCGGCGCGGTCCGTGATTTTTCTCGATAACCGGATATCTGAAAACGGAATCCGGCGGACGAGGACCACCCGAAGTCAACCCCGGAGACGGCGACGGGTAAAAAAACTTTTCAACAGTTCAATCCCGAAATTCCCCGACCGTGTCCCCGTGAGATTTTCGATCGTTTTCGGAAGTCAACTTTGCGAGCTTTCATCTGACGGCTTTCAAACTTTAACACCAGATGGTTAATTGAAAAAGAAACGTGAATGGATAGAGGTGGAATAGAGCTAGTACGAATATTAAACGAGATATAGTAGGAAATATGGTAGGAAATAGTTGAAAGTGAGTTCGACTTCGGACGCGAGTACCGGGGAGTCGGTCCGCAAACCACCCGGACACTTTGGATTTCACCGTGCATCCTTCCATCCTCCTTTTTCCCAAGATATTGTCACCGTCAGTCGGTCATTTCCGAGATTGAACCCTACGATCCGAAGTTCCCTGACGGCGTGCTCCGGGAGTCGGTCATTTCCGAGATTGAACGCAACCACCAGTTGATTTTCGTAATCATTTTCCCTCCCGTGTCCCCGTCAATCGGCCAATCCCGAGGTCACAGACTCGATGACCGACTGTCGGGGACAAATCCAGGGAATTTACAGGTTGAAGGGGGATATTAATTTTTTCTCGATTCGGTCCCCGGGGTTGACTTTCCCCGAACTCCAACTGTCGGAATACAGCTTTTCAAAACAACAATTTGGCACCGGCTACACACGTACATCGACTATGTCGGTGCGTAGCAGTACGTCGTCCTACGGGGAGACGAACCGCGGTCAAGGGAGAGTCGCCGGGTAGCTGGGAGTCGTCACCGCGGTCCGTGATATTTTTTCTCAACAATCGATAACAGGATATCTAAAGACGGATTCCGGCGGACGAGGACCACCCGACGTCAACCCCGGATTATCGATGTTTATCGGTAGTCAACTTTTCGACCTTTCGACCGACGGCCATAATAGACGTCACGTTCTCCCGCCTCGTAGCGCCTGCCGTCGTACGGGGTTGGAGCGTTCTGGTAAACGTCGAGTCCGCCAGCGATCACAGATACATCGCCTTCTCAATACACCAGACCCCCGTTTCGTATCGGTGGTGCGTAACGTTGCGCATCGGAGGTACGTAACGTTTCCTAACGTTTCGTAGCGGAGGTGCGTATCGGAGGTTCGTAACGTTTCGTATCGGTGGTGCGTAACGTTTCGTATCGCTATTACGTAACATCCGTAGGGTTCAGCGCTAGTGGGGCGGCCTCTGTCTATAAATATGGGTGCGCCGCAGCGGAACGGCGTCATTTCACGATTTGTCTTTGAAGTGTATGTGTTAAGTGCGATTTCAAATTTTTTTGCGTTCGTTATTTTAAAGTGTTCTCTTGTCTCCGCCTTACTTAAAGTTCATCCATTTTACGTGAGTATTATTACGTGCCGACTGAAGGACTCCAACGAGTACGTTGTTCGCAGGTAGCGGATATCTCATTATATTGTCGACATTTTTATTTTCAAATTTCTTTCCGACGTCGTAGTAAGACCCACCCGGGCAGACATACGAGGCTAGGTGAGAAATATTTTCACGGCTTGAGGCGAACTCGGCGAACGGTTTGTGAGGCGACCAATGGTGTAATAGTTGGAGTATTCCGGCATTGCATCGGCCGTCAGACTGTTCGTCGAGTTTTCCGATAGTTAAAAAAAAAAGAAAAACTTTAGTAACTACCGACAGTGAATAATGAGGTATCTGTGATCGCGTGGATGAAATCTGTACGACGAAAGTTGGCTTGTTTCGGTCGGAAGTCTTCACTCAGCGTGATTGCAATTTTTTTACTGCTTTTATTAGTTCGTTAAGTATTTTTTCAGGCACTTAGATTAGATAACCTGGGTACCCGAAAAGTCCCCCTCGACCGCTGCCTGTTGCGATAATTTTTAATTTCATTTTACACGTTTTTTCCATCGGCCACCAGAGGGCACATTCACGAATTTTTTTTTCTTAAGCGGGCGCGTGTATCCGGTGCCAATTTATTATATTTTTTTTAAATTATATTTTCCAAATGGTGAGAGTTCAGGGAATGTCATCAGTGGTGTTTTCTAACGACCGTCGTCACAGCGCTAGTTTCGCAGCCTCTGTTTCCGCGTTATTTTTTGCGTAGCTCTCTCTTGCAATCATAAAACGTATTTTTTTTTCCTAAGGGATTTTCTCGTATTTTTTCATATGCTTTAATTCTCACCCGTGTTATACTGCATAATTCTCACCACTGCGCGTTCGTCGCCTACGCTCAGCCACCTAGCGTTATTATTCACTTTTTTTAGCATTTTATTATTGCGTAGCATCCCTTTTTAAACAATTTGTGGATCCGTCAATAGTGCGATAGTGTTAGTGATTCTAGGATTGCTCCGGTCGTCTGTTTGGCAATGCCCGCTCGTCCCCTACCCCGTAGATATAGGAATTATTCCACGTGGCTGCGTGATAGGAAAACGCCACCCGTCCACTGGTCGGACTTGCTGAGCTGCGCGGTCGACCCATACATGGAATATTTAGAAAAGTGAGTGTTCCGTGTATACATTTGGTACGTATTCGGTATATTTTCAACTCGCATTTGCGTTCCGCAGGAGAGAATCACTGGGCCAGACGGTGACCACGTCAGTTAATTACATAAAGAATCTGGTTACGTTATTTGACATGTTCATTACTAATTACAGTGTTGAGGACATGCATTTTCCCAAGTCGTTTGACCTCTTGCCATGCCCTAACGAGATCGGTAAAATGAAATTGCTTCTGGCCAAAATTAAACTCTTGTATAAAAGCAAACTGAAAAAACAGCCGCAAGAGCTGTTTGACAGGAAGACAATGGAGGCACAGGCGCTCCCCGAGTACACAGAAGTCCGAAAAATTATAAAAAAAGTTGAGACGGACGTGCCGGAATTCTTAAGTAGACTAGAATCGAGCGTGGTCGCGGACGGCGAGATCAACGTCGCCCCGGTAAAAGGGTCGCCGATTCAAAAAATGGTAAGTCACAAGCCGATTACGCACGGTCGGCGGGCATCACTCGGCCCCGCTCGACCGCGTTCCTTTGTTTTCATTTTTCTCTTTTCGTTGCAGGTCAGCAGTTGGTGGAGAAAATCTACTTGCAGCCTGGCAGTTCTAGTGCTGTGGTTTTCGAAGCACCGAAGTGGGGTCATATCGAACATGTTGATGAGCGAGTGGCTGGTAAGAAAACAGCAGGAAGATAAAACGGTGGTGACCGTCGCCAAGCATAAAACGGGCGATAAGGAGCCGTCGCTGATCGTGCTCAGCGCCGACCTGGCGGCCCTGTTGGAGAGGTGAGTTCGAATAGTCCTAACCCAACAAACTATCCCCTGACCCGATCTGACCGTACGGCGTCCATGTTCGCAGGTACTATCGCATCCGTTTCCGTGTCCGTACCACACGAAAAGAATTTTTCATCACGAACACCTGTGGTAGGGTTATGAAAGCTAACGACGACGTGAATAAGATTTATAAGCTGCAGGACACGAAGAGTCAGTTGTCGGCTTGCGTGTTCCGGAGGATGATAGAGAGCGAGTCCCGGGGCCACGACAGTACCACATGTGCCGGGGTGGCAAAAGCTCTTCAACACGACCCGGAGACCGCTCTCAGGTACTACCAGGTACCGGACACCAACGAGGCCATACGGAGGCAGGCACATATAGACGTTGTCGACCACACGAAGTTGTTCCACGACATGGTGGCTGAAGAGTGAGTACCCAAATCGACCGGCCGACGGTCAGACGACTCGCGTACGATATAATACGATTTGTGTTTCAGGTTAGACACGTTGTTCCCACTCGAACCGTACGCCAATTTGAATGACCTGGATGCGATACGGGAAAAGTTGGAAGATTCGAACGCGAAAGCTATGTATCCAAAGGCCAATATTACGGATGCGTACCTGAACCAAATTCGGGAAAACTTTAATAAACAAGTCGCCGGAGAGAGGGTCAACATTCTTGTGGAAATATTGATGGCTGACTACACCCGAGATAACATATCAAAACAAGCCATCATAGATGCGGCTAAACGTAAGAAGCTCCACTACTTTCTCAAACACGACGCGGATAAAATATGCAGGAAAGTAATGAACCGGTTCTGAAGAAAAGACGTCACGGTCGAAAGCGCCCGGCCGGAGTAAAGGTTAGGTTAGGCTAAGTGGATTAGGCCTACTGGGGAACCACTATAAAAAAAACGCGCTTCAGCTGATACCCCTCGGGTAGTGTGGAAATTCAGCTAGTACCAGGGCATTTCGGCTTTAAGTAAACAATTATTTGCCGCATCATTGCAACGAAGATTAGAAAAAAAGGAGACCGTTGGACAGTACGCCTTTTTTTTCGAAACCAAATCGCCGTACCACTACGCAGCATCTGACGTCGGTAAACAATAATAATAATAATAATAATTATAATATAATTTAGTAGACTAATTTTTGTCAATTTTTTTCGAAGCAGAAGGTGCGCAACCATCTCAAAATTTTCCTTCAGAAACATTATGAGAGAGACAATGTCAACCCCGGAGACGGCGTGGAGAAAAAATAAATATCTCGCTTCAATCTATGAATTCCCCAAAATTGTCCCCGACAGTGGGGCATGAGAAAATATTTATACGCTACCGTCTCATCGGAGCGTCCTGTATTATCAGCGTTAGGTAATCGGGCGGCCGATAAGGCATTTTTAAATCCACAGGAGGGATTCAATCTCGGGAATGCCTCACTGATAAGGTCAACGTCACAGGGGAAATAACGATAAGATGTTTTGAATCAACAGGTGGAACTCAATCTAGGGAAAGACTCACTGACGGGTGCAACGTCATGGGGGGAATCGCGATAAGAGGTTTTTGCATCAACAGGTGGAACGCAATCTCAGGAATGACTCACTGACGGGGACAACTTCGTGGAGAAGGTGAGGATGGAACGATGCACGGTGAAATCGAAAGTATAGGGGTAGACTGCGGACCGACTCCCCGGTACTCGCGTCCGAAGTCGAATTCACTTTCAACTATTTCCTACCACTATAACTCGTTTAATATTCTTCCTAGCTCTATTCCACCTCTGTCCATTCACGATTTTTTTTCAATTATCTATCAGGTTTGAAAGTTTCAAAGCCGTCGGATGAAAACTCGCAAAGTTGACTTCCGAAAACGATCGAAAATCTCACGGGAACACGGTCGGGGAACTTCAGGATTGAACTGTTGAAAAATATTTTTCACCGTCGCCGTCGACGGGGTTGACGTCGGGTGGTCCTCGTCCGCCGGATTCAGTTTTGAGATATCGGTTATCGATTGTTGAGAAATATCACGGACCGCGGTGACGACTCCCAGCTACCCGGCGACTCTCGCTTGACGGCGGGTCGTCTCCCGTAGAAGACCGTACTACTACGCACGATTTTTTTTTTACGCGGGCGGCGCCGACTTCTACCCGGCAACTCTCCCTTGACGGCGGGTCGTCTCCCCGTTTAAGACCGTACTACTACGAACGATTTTTTTTTACGCGGGCGGCGCCGACGTCTACCCGGCAACTCTCCCTTGACGGCGGGTCGTCTCCCCGTAGGACGACGTACCGCAACGCACCGACATAGTCAATGTACGCGTATATCCGGTGCCAAATTGTTGTTTTGAAAAGCTGTAATCCGACAGTACGTGTCCGGGGAAAGTCAACCCCGGGGACCGAATCGAGAAAAAATCAATACCCGCCTTCAACCTGTAAATTCCCTGGATTTGTCCCCGACAGTCGGTCATCAATTCTGTGACTCCCGTCGGAAATCATCGTATAAAATATCACAGGATTAAGAGCGATAAGAATTTAGTGAATCAACATGTGGTTGCGTTCAACCTCGGGAATGGCCGATTGACGGGGACACTGGAGGGAAAATGATTAAGAAAATCAACTGGTGGTTGCGTTCAATCTCGGGAATGACCGACTCTTGGGGCATGCCGTCCGGGAACTTCGGATCGTAGGGTTCAATCTCGGAAATGACCGACTGACGGTGACAATATCTTGGGGAAAAGGAGGATGGAACGATGCACGGTGAATTCCAAAGTGTCCGGGTGGTTTGCGGACCGACTCCCCGGTACTCACGTTCGAAGTCGAATTCACTTTCAACTATTTCCTATCACTATAACTCGTTTAATATTCATCCTAGCTCTATTCCACCTCTGTTCATTCACGATTTTTTTTTCAATTATCTATCAGGGTTGAAAGTTTCAAAGCCGTCGGATGAAAACTCGCAAAGTTGACTTCCGAAAACGATCGAAAATCTCACGGGGCCACGGTTCAAGAATTTCGGGATTGAACGTTTTGAATCGGTCTTTAATGGTCGCCGTCGACGGGGTTGACGTCGGGTGGTCCTCGTCCGCCGGATTCAGTTTTGAGATATCCGGTTATCGATTGTTGATAAATATCACGGGCCGCGGTGACGACTCCCAGTTACCCGGCGACTCTCCCTTGACGGCGGGTCGTCTCCCCGTAGAAGACCGTACTACTACGCACGATTTTTTTTTACGCGGGCGGCGCCGACGTCTACCCGGCAACTCTCGCATGACGGCGGGTCGTCTCCCCGGAGGATGCCGTACCACTACGAACCGACTTGTCGTTAAACGCATTCCTTCACGCGTGTATCCGGTGCCAAATCGTATTTTTCAATATTATGTTTTCCAACGGTGGAGTTCCGGGGAAAGTCATTCCCAAAGACGGCGTCGAGAAAAAACGAACACCGTCCTTCAATCTCCGAATTCCCCGACATTGTCCCCGTGAGTCGGTCATGGGAAAATTCGAAGACCGACTCACGGGGACAATGTCGGGGAATTTGGAGAATTCAACAATTTTAACCCACAATTTTTATTTACACGGTCGCGACGCCCAGCATGATTAAATTACATTCACTGTCAATTCCCAAAATTTGTCCCCGACATTCGGTCATCAACTTTGACGATTTCACCCGACGTTCGGCCATGGGCTCGGGAATCTTAGACGATGACCTACAGACCGGAACACGGTCAACCAAGAAGAACGTGGCGAAAAAATATCCGTGTCCCCGTAAAATTCCATTTCCCAGTAAAATCTTGTGTCCCCGTGTAATTCCATGTCCTCGTCAGATTCCGTGTCCCCGTGAACATCCCATGTCCACGTGAAAATTCCGTGTCCCCGTGAGATTTCGTGTCCCCGTCAAATTCCGTCCCCGAATTGAAAAAAATAAATGACCTGAAACGAAACGTTAGAAAACGTTACGCAACATCGATACGAAATGTCATATCTAGGAAGAATGCTAAAATTTAAAAATAAAAATACAATCTCCGTGCGTAGTGGTACGGCGACACGGTTTTTTTTTTCAAGCCCGTGTCGCCCTACCACTACGCGGCGAATTGGTTTTTTAAATGCTACTACGCACGGTGATTTTTTTTTTACGCCGTACATTTTTCCTTTCAACGCTGATCGCTCGCATGTAGCGGATTACTCTGAACGGGGTATCCGTGATCGCGTGGATTAAATCAATGCGATTAGTGTACCAGACCACGAGGCAAGTGACCTGATGGGTTCACGCGGCTGGGTCTTGTGCCACCGAAGGGCCATTCCATTTTATATTTCTCAAATTTCTTAATTTCGATTATTGATGAAATCTGTACGACGAAAGTTGGCTTGTTTCGGTCGGAAGTCTTCACTCAGCGTGATTGCAATTTTTTTACTGCTTTTATTAGTTGGTTAAGTTTTTTTTTTAGACACTTAGATTAGATATCTAGGTACCCGAAAACTCCCCATCAACCGTTGCCCGTTGCGATAATTTTTAATTTAATTTTACAAGTTTTTTCCATCGGCCACCAGAGGGCAAATTCACGAATTTTTTTTTTTCTTAGGCGCGTGTATCCGGTGCCAAATTATAATTTTTTTTTTAAATTATATTTTCCAAACGTTGGTAGTTCAGGGAATTTCAACCCATCCGCCAGCAGCGGTGTTCTCTAGCAATATCCGAACATTTCGCTACCCGAATCGCAGCGCTAGTGTCGCGGTATATACGATTACACTGTTCCTATCATTTGACAAATATAATTTTTCGATACTAACCGAACACCTGTCCCTCGCTTTTTTTAAGCGTTTTTTAAGTTGTTTTTCAAAGCGTATAATGGGCCGCGTTCATATGTTTACTGTCCTTATCATATGTTGCTTTGGTGGCCTAGAGGTTTTATTATTTACAGTGTACTAGAATTAGTGTTTCTCACCAACAGTTGCTAAATTTTCGAGATGTCGGGAATGAATTTTGCCCTTGATGCTGTGAAATCTGGTCAATTGTCTGCTGGTCAAGCCGCTCGGCAGTTTAATGTACCAGAGACAACCCTACGCGAGTATTTGAAGCGTAGTTGCATCACTCCGGGAATCGTAAGTTTTCTTTGTTTCATGCTTGTTTTGATTATGACGTTTCCGTTTAAATGTAGGCGTCCAGAGGCTATACCAAGGTTTCTAGTAATACAAACTTAACCGCAGCTATTAAGTTGGTACACGATGAGGGGTTGCCCGTGAATGCTGCATCCAGAATTGCCAAAGTTCCAAGAACGACCCTACGAAAGGCATTAAAAAACTATGAGAAGATTAAGCGTAAAGACAATTTTTATTGAACCTTATAGTCAATTAACTTTATTTAAGTATTTCTATATTGTAGATGTGCTTCCTCCACCGGATGTTGTTCAACCGATTGAGACCGTCGTTAGGCCAACCGTTCTACACGAGGACACGGCAGACGTGGGTACCGTCGCAGTGCCACTCATTATTGAAGAGGACGTGGAGGTTGAAGAACCCGTCGCAGCGGAACCCATTCTACACGGGCAGACGTGGGTACCGCCGCAGTGCCATTCATTATTGACGAGGACGTGGATGTTGTAGAACCCGTTGAAGCGGAACCCGTTGGCCAGGATGTTGGACCTACGACGGTTGTTAAAAGTAATAAATAATATTCTGTTTTTGGTATTTTTAATAAAACAAATGTTCGTTACCCAGATGTGCTAGTTTTCGGGAAAAAGAGTGGAAGGGCGAAGACTGTTGAGAAGACCGTGGAGGTGCACAACAAATCCGCATATTATCCGCGTCTTCCACAGTGGTCTAAACCTGATGGTGAGTATTATTAAAACGTGTAATATCAGTACGACAATAAGAAAAGCTTTTTTAATTACAGTCACCGAAATCCATGTCGAAAACGACGAAATCATTGATTTCGTAGAGGATATCGACGGCGAAATGGTTGTTGAAACCGTTCTTAATTGTAAGTAAAATTCATGACTAATTCATTCTTCATAAACGTAAAGTTTTTTTTTTCAGCCCACATACACTTCGACGATTCATCAAACGACCAGTTTCCAAATCCAACGTTTGTTATGGTTAACTCCGATACCATGGAGGTTAGCGTTGGTGAACTACCAGGACACCCCCGTGAGTATAATCATTTCCCTCTAACTGTTTTTTACGACTGTAGCCATTTTATGATTTCAGCCACTCCTCGGCCGTTACTCGTTGAGGAAATATTTACGCCGTCGCCTACACCATCGCCACATTTATTAGAGTTGCCGCCCTCTTCTATGACTTCACCATCGTTACCATCAGCTTCACCGCAACCTCTTTTACCAGGGAGATCGCCGCCACCGACTACCGACCCGTATGAGTTTTTCTTGAGCGAGCCGGGTAAGTTATTTACCCATACTTATTGAGAATTCTTTACCTAATTCATCACTTTTCAGAGTTTGAGTCACCGTCTGGTCAAGTTTCGCCAGATCTATTGGGCATGTCAACCGAGCCCATGGATGTCGGTGTGGATTCAGATGAAGAAGGATTAAGACCACGGAGACTAAATGTTGCGCAACGCAACGCACTGAAAGTCGATACTCAGGTATGTGTGTTTACTTATCTAAATCGAAATTGTTATTATGATACGTTTTGTGCCGTAGATGGTTAAATATTGTCCGGTGTGTGACTTCATGACTGTTGGCCATAAGCTTGGGAGGCACCTTGCAAACCGCCACAGGTCACAGATAAAAAAGCCCCGAGACCTCAACATCAGAAAGATATGCCAACACATTGCCTCGGAATCCCGCAAGTCCTATTCCGTTGTCCCGTTGCGGGTGATAGAGAAGAAGTTGGGCCCATATTGGGATGACAGGTGTTTTAGAAGCATCGCCCACGAGTAAATTGTGCAATATATCAATATATTTTAGCACCATAGTAAATTTGTTGTTTCCGTTTTAGACTTACGACCATGGGAAGGATGAAGACGTATGGTGGATGTTGGAATCTTCCTGATGTAACAGTTACGTCAAACCCATTTGAGGAATTTTTCACCGATAGCGATTTCGGTCCCGATACACCGGTGATGAATGTATCTGCGACACCGGCGGTGCCAGTCCTTCTTATACCGGAAACCTCCGGTGAAACCATTTCGATACCTGGACCTTCCGGCACATCAGGCAGACCAGCCGACCCGGAAAACGGAACGATGACAAAAATCAATGCACAATCTTCGGAATCGTGAGTATTGCCTAATAAATAGTTCGAGTCGAAACCTTCGATTAAGGTTTTTTTTATTAATTTAAAGCCTTAATGTCTTATTTATATTTTTAACTTTATTTTCAGGAAATTGCGCAAGGCTTCGGAAGCTTTAGGTCTTAACACTCAGCTTCCACCCAATCATCCATTGATTGTAATGTTTACAAAGACGTTGGAAATTAGCCACGGGAATGATTCGCAAGCAGCAAAAAATTACGTATCCAATGTTTCGCGGGTGTTGTGCTACGTGCACCAACAACTGTCCGCCAATAATTTACCACCGAAACATTGGGCGGATCTGGTTTCGGCCGATGTCGAATTTTACGTCGACTTCTTTCGACGGTAAGGACTCGTTGGACGATTAAAAAATGATTGATTCGTAAACTATTTATTTTTTTTTAATTTTGTACACAGCCGAGAGGAGATCGGGCAGACCAAGGCTACGACGATCAATTACATGAAAAACATACGGCTACTATTTTCACACGTCATAAATTCCTTTATATACGAGGACCAGTCGTTCCCGAAAGGGTTCGATCTGTTGCCGTGCGTACAAACCATCACCAAAATCAAGCTTTTAGGGCACAAGCTGGGACTGTTATATAAAAGGACCACAAAGCAGCAGCCAACGGAGTTGTTTGAGAGGAAAACGACAGAAGGCGAGAATTTGCCAGATTACTCAAAGGTTGTCGGGTCGATAATTGATATTAGTGAGACAATCCCCACTAATCTCACGCTGCTGGAGCAAAAGTTTTCAAATTTGGGAACAGTCGTCGTACGAAGCGAGAAAACTAGCTCCCCTGCAGAAAAACAAGTTAGTTATAGTGTTGCGCGTTACACTCGCCTGGAAAACCTTTACCGGTTTTTTTTATTTTTCAGCTTTCAAACCTTTGGCGTAAGGTGACGTGTGGTCTGGCCATTAGTTTACTATGGACCTCGGATGGTCCCGGAGTCCCAAACAGTGGTCCGGGACAACCGTGTTGGAGCGGATGCAGCCGGTGTCAACGACCCGGCGACTCCGCGTTTAAGTGCCAGTTCTGTGAAAGAACGTTTACCACCAAGATAGGTGTCGGTGTACATGTTAGTAGTGCCCATAGGGGCGGAGCCAATGACCAAATCCTGGTCGAGCGTAGAAAGTCGCGCTGGCCAGATGAGGAAAAGAGACTTTTTGCTTTAGCCGAAGCTAAACTCGTATTCGGTGGTGTGCCGTCAGGCGGAATCAATCGCGAGCTTATGCTCAAGCATCAGGGCCGTACCCTTGATTCGATTAAGGGACGTGATTTTGATGGCGGAAACGCCGGCAGGTTTGCGTCAGGCGTGCGAAGCATTCACGAAGCGGTTAGAGGTAGCTGGTCTAAGGGTGAACCCAGCGAAGTGTGCAACGCTCACCATGGTTCCCTCCGGACGAGATCGGAAAGTGAAGACCGTTGACGAGGTATACTCCCTTGGGGGTGTGGTCTTGCCGACACTTGACGTTTCGTCTCTATGGAGGTACCTTGGTATATCGTTCGCAGGTAGTCGGATCGATGTCTTCGACAGCGCGGCGTACGTTGCAGCGCTAAACCGGATCTCCTCGGAGCCGATGAAAGCGCAAATGCGACTGGCAATTGTCAGAGACTACCTCGTCCCGAAGTTCATTCACGGACTGACGTTCGCGGTAGTAAGCGTCCGTAGGCTTCGAGAGGCTTTCACGAGACGCGTCGCGCTGTCCGTCGCTGGCTCGACTTACCCACTTCGTGCCCGAACGCGTACATTCACTCGCCCACATCGGCGGGTGGCTTGGGTGTTCCGGACTTTGTCCGCTTCGTACCTCTTAATCGCGTAAAGCGACTCACGAAACTTGAGAACTCCGAGGTCCCGGCGGTCCGTGAGGCCTTCGGGCGACACGGGACGTCCGCCTTGGCGGGCACCCGCCGGTCCTTGGAGGGTCACCGTCTCAAGCTGAGCCATATGCAGGATCTCCATGCAAGCGTTGATGGCTCGGAACTGAAGCTATGTTCCGAGGAGCCGGCGTCCGTCGCGTTCCTTTTCGTCGCATCCCGTCGTCGGACTTCAAGGATTACGCGCGGATCAGGATAAACGCACTGCCGACTCGCAAACGTGTCAACCGCGGGAAAGCTGGTCCGGTTAGATGCCGGGCCTGCGGCCTCGTGGATGAGACGCTTGGCCATATTTCGCAGACTTGTCAGCGTACGCATGAATCCCGCATTATGAGACACGACTGCCTGGTTAAACGAATCACAGGTGGTCTTCGGGAGAAGCGTTACGAAGTGGAAACGGAGCATCTTTACAAGTTACATGGCGGTAATGTGAAGCCGGACATCGTCGCAACGATAAGCGACGAGACAAGAGGCCGCATCTCCGTTATATGTGATGTACAAGTCGTTTCAGGCTCCGACCCCGTCACTTGGCATTCTAACAAACTCGAAAAATACAACGATCGAGCGGATCTCAAAAACCGGGATCCGCACCAGACACCTATCGACCGAAGTACGAACGGTCGCTGCTACGCTGACTTGGCGTGGCGTCTGGGTTCCCGAAAGTTTTCAGGAGCTCAGATCGCTTGGTTTGAGCCGAGGTCTTCTCGAGGGGCTCGTCACGCGAGTCCTCCGGGGGACGCAACTCAATTGGTTTACGTTTAATCGCACGAATCTGGTAACGAAGGCGCGGACGGGAGTCGGGTAATAGCCTCCGTCTGCCCGCAACAGCTGCGGGCCTCCTCGACCCGCATTCCTTGTACTTCTTCCCTGTAAAGACCTTCCCCTCCCTCTGAAAAGTAATTTCCCATTTGTCCTCCGGTAGGCGGATAAATGATGACTGTTCGGCTCACCCCGACAGTCTGTCTAGTTTCAAATTCGGCTTTCGGGGTAAGTTGTGATCTTTCCACGCGGTGGACGTTTGATTCCCGTCTAACGCACGGATGGATTACTCTGATATCTAGCCAAATGCCTCGTCATCTAATTAGTGACGCGCATGAATGGATTAACGATATTCTCACTGTCCCTATCTACTATCTCAGAGCGGCGGTCGGACAGTAAAAGTGTGCTCCGTGTTCAAGCGAACTTGAATTAGGTCAGGGTAGTGCGTTTTTTGCGTATTATATACCAAAAGCTTCGTCTTGAACAGGCGCATCCAACGGTGTATAATGTGATATGCGAAAATCGGTTAGGGAACGAAGCGTTCAGGGCGTGATTAGCGATCGCGGGCGTAAATCCTCTGTTTACGGCCGGTCGCGAAAACCCCTTTTTCGTTTTTCTCAGGCCACAGTGCGAATTTTGCGTCGGACCAAAGATCCTCGCTACAGTGCCATCGAGGCGCTAATTTAGAGGTAGGTCGCGTGAACTTTCAGCAAGTTGCGGCAAAGTTGGGCTAAAAAAGTTCAAAGGCTGACACAGGGACCTAGAACAGCGGTACGGAGTCGTGACCTGGACGGTCGGATAGTCTTCTTCAAGATAAATCGACCAGTCCAAACAGCGGATCTGTGCGACGCTCAGCGGCTGAGCAATCGGCGTCTAAAGTTAGGTAAGGCGTTTTTAAGCGCGCGGGATCGTGCGCGTGCGGGAGAGTACGCGTGAGTCAGGTGGTGTACGTGCGGTGCGCGGTGTTCAGGATCGTGCGAGTGCGCGCGACCCGAGTGGTGTACGTGCGGCGCGTAGTGTTTAGGATCGTGCGAGTGCGCGCGAGTGCGGGCTCCGTGCCGATCGTGCGGGTGCGTAAGCCGGTCATCCCCTCCGGCTCGCCGGACCGGTATCCGTGTGCGAGTGCGCGGTGCGTGCGCGTACGCGAGTGGCGCGCTAATACAAAACCGCGAACAGATCGGTGTCGATTTTGAGTCGATCTGTATAAGCCTTAGGGCGAAGAATTTGCGGCGCTGTCGGCCCTCAGGTAAGGTGTCAGGCTTAATTAATTAAGTTAGCAGAGCTACATCGGCGTTAGTACGTTATTCGGAAAAGTCGTTGGGCTTGAGTAGGTAGGCTCGATAGTTTTAGGTTGACTCGTTCCAAGGACATGGTTATGTCCGACATGGATCTCGACAACTCATTCTCGGATGGGGGTGAATTCGAGGAGACACAGGAAACGTTAGGGGGGGTGCCGGCGGTTCGGGGCGTCCTTCAGAGGACACCGAACCTCGGGTAAAAGCAAAACGGAGGAAGGTTGTCGACTCCGACGAGGAAGACGTTTCTGAACGTACCGAAGTCGGGGTGTCATCTTTCCCAGAAAAGGCTAGGTTGATCGGTAGGGAGATGGATGCTGCCCTTCTCAAGGAGAAGGACAAGAGGAAGATTTCGGCAGCCTTTCATAGGCAGATCTTGGAATTTCGAGGGAGGTATGAGGTTTTGCTGGACGAGGCCCTCCGGCAGAACACGGTTCTGTTGGGGAGGGTTGAGGAGGCAAGACGCGTACATTCGTGCGTAGGCTTGGTTAGGGAAGTCGTAGAGGAGGATGCCACGGTCATCGGGAAACCCTCAAAGGCCAAGGTCCCGGCAAAGAAGACGGTCTCAGCAAGGGAGTCGGCCCCCGTGGCTCAAGCAGCCAAGGAGAACGACTTCATCGTGGTGGTCGGAAAAAAGAACAAGAGGAAGAAGAAGAAGAAGAAGAAGAGCAAGCAACCAGCGCCAGAAAAGGCCACGAAGACCCCGGGGGTGGTCGCCACCGCGACCAAAAAGGCTAAGGCCGTCGAGAGGGAGAAGGCCAGAGCCCCGGCTCGCGCCTTCGTCGTCTCGGCGGGCGATGCTGGTGCCGAGGCCGCCAAGAGGCAACTCTGGGCGGACTTGGTAAAGGGAGTGGCGGCGCCCAAACTCGGGAATTTCGCCAGGCTCCCCAGAGGCGACCTGGTGGTCAAACCGGCTGACGATGCGACGTACAAGGCGCTCAAGGAGATGGAGGCCAGCGGCAAGATGGTCACAGAAGAAAAGGCAAGGTGGCCGACTGTCCTCATCTACGACGTGGATAGGGACTTCGGTGGAGAGGTACTCCCAGTTCAGATCGTCGAGCAGAACTCGGGTTTAGGTTTGGTTAAGGAGGACGTGGTCCCCCTCTTCAAGAAGGGGCCCAAGACGGGCGACTTGGTGTGGTGGGTCTGCTCGGTCAGGCCTAGCGCATTCAAGTCCATCGTAGGGAAGAGCCTTTTCATCGGGCTCTCGAAGTGTAGGACTGTCGAATACGTTGACGTAAATAGGTGCTTCAAATGTCAGGGCTTCGGCCACATGGCAAATCGCTGCAAAGCGACGGAGGACACTTGCGGGCGTTGCGCAGCTAAGGGCCATCGGGCAAAAGACTGCCAGAGCGTGCCGGTCAAGTGCGCCAACTGCGGTCAGGCTGCCCAGTCGGGCCACAAGGAATGTTCAGCTCTGCACAAGGCGACCATAAGGGTCGGCCGTAGGACAGATTTTGGCTCTAAATGATGAACTCGTCGACTTACTGTGTAGCCCAGTTGAACATGAATGGGAACCACCTCGTTCCTGATCAGATACTGGACTACAGCAGGGCTAACGGGGTTGAGGTGCTTCTGCTTCAGGAGGTACCGACCTCGGGTAACAGACTTGTAGGATTCGACTACAGTGCCGTCAGGACGGTTCTCAGCTGTAAGGAAGGTAGTGCAAGGGCAGCCATAGTTGTTCTAAATCAGGACATCGAGGTGGTCGCCTTGCAGGGGCTCAGCGATAGACACTTCGCCGTGGCTAGCCTTAGGAAAAGGCATGGTCAGGCGGTCGTTTTCGTGTCGGCTTACTTCAGGTACAGCATCCAGACACACATCTTTACGGCTAGGTTAGGTTTAATCTTGGATAGTATCGACCAGGATGTCGTGATAGGTGCTGACGTGAACGCGCACTCGCCGCAATAGTTCAGTCGGCCGGGCAACAACACGGGTTCAGCCAGTGGGACCCACGTCGAATCCCTGATTGCGGAGAAACACTTGACGGTGCACAACCAGCCAGGCCGCCTCGTCACGTACGAGAGGCACGGTATGGGGTCATCGAACATAGATGTGACTCTGACGAGAGGGGGTTCCTTGGTGAACTCCGTTTCTGAGTGGGACGTGCTCGATATCACCGATAGCGACCACAGGACCATCAGATTCAAGATCCGAATCGGATCAGGACCAGAAGGGCCCGCAATAGGGAAACGTCGCTTCAATACTAGGAAAGCCGATTGGGATAGGTTTAGGTGGGTTCTGGCCCAGAAGGTTCTCGGTGACCCTGAGACCATGGTGGGCGGGTGCGATGTCGTCGCTGGTGCTCTAACGCGAGCCCTCGGGCAAGCGATGGAGGCCTCGATGCCACGCTCACGCAAGTCCGCTAGGATAAAACCGCCGTGGTGGGACGCTGGACTCGAAGAGTCCAAGAGGCGTCTCAATAACTTCAGGCGCACCAGGGACTACAAAGTCGCGGATAGGGATCAATTCAGAGTGCTCAGGAACGAGCATCTGAAAAAGATTAGGAGGGCCAAGATGGAGTCGTGGAGGAAGTTCGCTACCTCCATAAACTCGGACATCTGGGGCCCTGTCTATCGTTGGGCTAGGAATGGTTCTTCTAAGAGTAGGATTCCAAGCTCCGTGCTCCGGGAAGACGGAACCTTCACGGTGACGGCTTTGGAGACGGCTGAGTGTCTGTTGGAGAGTCTCATCCCCAGGGACGTGACTGCTCCCATCTTCGAACATGGCATTGTTGAGAGAGAGAGGCCGGAGGTCACGGAGGCGGAGGTTAAGAGGGCCGTCTGGAGGATGGCCCCTAACAAAGCTCCGGGATTGGACGGTATCACCGCCGGGGTTCTCAGGAAGGCCTGGGGCGTAATAGGCACGCCGCTAACCAGTGTCCTGAGAGAGTGCCTTAGGAGGTCGGTCTTTCCGGATTGCTGGAAGACTGCTGAGGTCGTGGTCATCAGCAAAGGTCAGGATAGGGACCCGAGCCTTCCTAAGTCATACAGACCGGTTAGCTTGCTTTCGGCACCGTCAAAAGTGCTGGAACGGCTGGTGGTGGACAGACTTGAGGAAGAGACGGGGGGAGCTCTGTCAGAGGAGCAACACGGTTTCAGAGTCGGCAAGTCTACAATCAGCGCGATCAAGTCGTGTCTGGATTGGGTGGACAACAGTCAGGAAATGGTGGTAGGTGTTTTCTTAGATATCTCAGGCGCTTTCAATAACCTGAGATGGAACATATTGATTAGGGACATGATGACTCTGGGCGCATCAGATGCGACCAGATCAATCATACAAAGCTATCTGACGGGCAGGAGGGCGGTGCTCTCGGTTGAGGGAGCGACAGCATTCGCGGATCTCACCAGAGGCTGCCCTCAAGGCTCACAGCTAGGTGCCAAGTCTTTGGAATTTGTCGATGGATAGGGCGTTGGTCACCAACAATGATGATAGGGTTAAGCTGGTCGCGTATGCGGACGACCTCGCGGTTCTCATCGCAGGTTCCGACATCTTGGACATTCAAGGACGAGCCAGAGCGACGCTCGGCGCTTTACGCGACTGGGCGGAGCTGAGAGGTCTAACCTTCTCGGCGAGTAAGTCTCAAGCTATCCCTCTGAAAGGCGGGTTGCGGTCGGGTTTCACTGTGCCCTTCGGGGCGCAGGATATCGTGGCCGTGGACTCAGTTAGGTATCTAGGTGTTGAATTGGACAGCAAGAGAATATTCTGGGCGCACGTGAGCATCGTGGCCGGAAAGTCCGAATCCTTGTACATTAGGCTAAGAGCGGCATCGTCAGCTGACTGGGGTCTTCGGCAGTCCACCTCCGCAGTAATATATAGGGCGGTCTTCCTGCCCCGTATCACTTACGCCGCGGAGATCTGGGCTAAGGGAGTCCTCACCAAGAAGGCGATAAAACTCCTCGGCAGCAAGCAGAGGAGGGCCCTTCGTTCTCTTACGGGGGCATACAGTACGACCTCAACGGACGCGTTGCAGGTGGTAGCTGGGCAGCTGCCTCTCGATTTGGAAATTCGTTGGCATGTGGTTAGGACTAGAAGGAAAGCTGGTCAAATCTCAGAGGAAGAGATGAGCGACCAGTGGGATAGGCTCTTGGACATCTGGCAGGATAGGTGGGATAGTAGCGTGAAGGGTCGTTGGACCTACGGTATCTTCCCAGACATCAGGAGGAGACTGGTCCTCCCACTCGAGGTGGATCACTACGTGTGCCAATTCCTAACGGGGCACGGGGACTTTAACTCCAAGTTGGAGTCCTTCAACCTACGGGGAGAGGCCATGTGCAGGTGTGAGACCGAGGACGAGTCGGTGGACCATGTGCTCTACAGATGCCCTTTGCTCTCTGCTGAGAGAGATAGGGTCATCAGGCAAATTGGCGAGGACGTCTGGCCGTGTGAGACCAAGGTGTTTATGGACACGAGGTCGAACTACTGTGCCCTACGTCGCTTTGCTAGGGAGGCCATCGAGGCCAAAAGATCTTCGGACAGGTTAGGCTTAGTTCCTGGTTAGGTAGGTCCCGTTAAGGCGACGGGCGGGTTGGTGGGGACCCAGGGTGGGCGCTCAGGCGTCCGTCCGAATATCCACTAAAAAGGCCCACCACTAGCCGGCTGGGGAGCCAAAATAGTGGGAGGTCATAGACCGGGTTGACCAACCGACGTCAACTAAAAACCTAGTCGGTGCCACGGGAGAGGGGAGCCCCATTGCATGCTGGAGCGGCTCGCCCGCTCTGGCTGCTTTGCCCCTCGAGGTTGAGGAGCCTACCTCGGCTGAAACGTGGTGGTTGTGGGACAGGCGTTAGATAGTAGAACCCAAAACCACAGGACCTTGTGGGAAGACGGTACCCAGGTGGCACTTAACTGAGTCATCCCAGTCTTCAAGATAGGTACGGGCTCATGCCCGGTGCTGGTCTTCCATAGAGCCACGTACAAAAAACTCTAGAAGACCCTAGTCTGGTGGGAGGTAGCTCCCGCCTTTCTAGTTCCACCCCCGCCCGTAAGTAGCGCATAGCGCTAAGGCACGGACGAGGTGCGGTAAGGCGCAAGCCGAAAAACCCGGGCTCTCCATGTCCCTATCTACTGGCGGGGTCGATGAAAACCCACCTTGTCATGGTGACCCCGCCCGGCCGACCTCGGTCGCTAAGAGGTTTTCAAAACCGGGTCCGTTTAAACTAGTTGCGACGGACCCCAGGCGTCGCGTGAGCTGTTACGTGGCGCCAAGTCGTGCTCTCGCGAGCGGCGAGCCTATACCTCGGGTCGGGAGCAACCCGCGATAAACCACCAGTCAGCTGCAGTGTCCTTTGGCTGGCAGGAATCGTGGGCGTAACCTGACCTCAGGGTCTGAGGGCCGTCACGGACCAGAGTACAGGCGACAACCCTTAGCTGGGGGATCGCCCGGGGACCTTAGCCAGTTCTCGGGTGGTCAAGCCCGGCCGTGGACTTAGCCGTTTGCGGTCGGGAGAACTTCCGGAGGTTGGCAACTCCGGTCGTAGGCGCCAGGCACCGGCATGGACACACCTCGACCAGGCGGACTTACGGATGCAACATACGCTTAGCCCGACGTATGCCAGAGGGATCAGGGCTGTACCTGGCGGTAGGTCAAAAACGTAGGGAAGGACACCCGCAAACCATAATGATGAAAGTGATTAAAACTATTAGTACCCCAAGTGATAATCCGGCTAGTCCGGCAAATTCACCTCCTGCGGGAGCATTGGCCCATGGTTTTTGGGGGGGGGCCAAGTCACTCTTCATCAACGGTCGGAGCTGAGCGGCCCGACTGACGTGTCTACGGACAAAAACCATTCTGACGTGCCTACGGGTTATTTGACAAAAAATGTATATGACGGAAACTTGACGATTATTGACAACGCTGGGTACGTACTTTCAGCAAAAAGCACGTTGCGCCTCAAAGGTGGCGGGGGTGGAGATGATGGCCTCGAAACTAGTAGCACAGGATTCTCAACGCCATTGTTTCAGGACAATACCGCCTCTAGAAAAGTTAAGCGGAAGAAACTTGGCGAAGATAATAGCCCTGACCCTGTCTCTCCTTGAAAGCACGCTTTGGACTTGGAGAAATATTCTGATGAGGTCAGTGACAACATAAATGATACTAAGGCTATGTTAGAAGACATGATCAAAGAATCCAAAATAGGCAGGCGCTGGATCGAAGCCATCCTACACCAACTCGACGAAATCCTTATTAGCAACAACCGCAAGGCCAGGGCCAGTTATAGGGTGCTAGGCAATTGTGAAGAACAACGGGACGAACTCCGTGCTTTACAGGAGCACGTGGGAGACCTTCATAACGATATGGGGGCTCTGAAAGAATGATACAACCAGTCTCAGATAGAAAAGGAAAGGGCCTTAGCGGAGCTAAATAACCGTCAATCTGTCAGATCTGTTCCAGAGCCGTCAGTCTCGTCGCTCGGACCACTCCCTCCGCCCATAGAATACATCGATATAGATGATGACACCATAATGGTAGTAAGCCCATCCGGTTTATCCTATGCTGCTGCTGCAGCCAGACCGACAATGTCGCCTTCCCACTCTAGGAAGAAGAGGAAAAAACAGGATGATTTCCCTGTGCTAAAAACACCATTAGCGCCAAGAAAAAGGGCCAAGGGTAGGCTGGGTACCATAAAACCCCCCAAGAAGTCCGCGAAGCGTTTAGCGACGATAAAAGCCAGGGACAGATCCGCCAGGACAGGCCCAAGATTCGAGGTCACAACGGGTGTCGAGGGATGGCAGGACCTTCGGAATTCAATTGAACAGAAACTGCCAAACCCTAAGGTCAGAATGACAAAGTCCAAGAACGGCGGCTTGGTTCTTTTCCCTGAGGACGAGGTTACCGCAGCTGCTCTGCGCCGCACTACCAAACTTGTTGAGAGGGGCCCTCGGAGGCCAAGGGTCATCATTAAATTTGTAGACAGACTCCTAGAAAAAGACCTGATCCCGTGGGCGCTACGCAAGAATGAGTCTCTTGATATCAGCGAACATGAGCAAAGCAGCATAAAACCGCTATTCATGCTAGGTCCACGAGACGGACATGCGGTGCATTGGGTTGTTGAGGTCGCCCCAGAAACTCTGCCGAAGGTCGAAGGCAAATCGGCTTATCTGGGTATGACCAAATGCAAAATAAAGTTCTTCGACTCAGTAACACAATGTTTTAACTGCCAAGGATTTGGCCACACGGCCCAAAAATGTAGGGAAGAGCAACCCAGATGCAGGAAATGCTCGGGGCGACACGACTCACGGTCTTGCACGGCGCAAACGGTAAAGGGCCCTAACTGTCGAAGTGGGAACCACAACGCGGCGTCAGCTAACTGCCCGGCAAGAACAGCCGCCATCAGACGACTTACTCGTCAAACAGATTTTGGGACGACCGACCTTACCCCAAATGACAGCTGAGATTAGAATTATCCAGCACAATCTCAACAGGGACCGCACGGCTAGCCACCAGCTCCATGAGCTCTGTGTCGAACAGAAGATAGACTTTGTACTTGTTCAAGAACCGCTCATCATGAATAACAACTCGATATATGCGTTTGAAACCTGTAGGCGGGCGCACATTAGTCGTGACGCCGGTGCGGCCGTAATAGTCCTGACCAACCGTTATCAGAGTATCCTCTTGGGGGCTTACTCGTCAAGCCACACTGTAGCGATCAGAGTCAGGTTTGGTCCTAGACAGTTGGACGATGTTATACTTGTATCGTCCTACTTTAAGTACAACACACCTACCATTCTCCACATAGAGCGTTTAAGCCAGATCATGGAAAAAGAGAAACGTATCCTCATCGGGGTGGACACGAACGGTCACTCGAAACTCTGGTTTTCGGAAACCCGGAACCGTCGCGGTAGAACCGTTGATGACTTCATACACAAATATGGTCTTAGGGTTCATAACATAGCCGGGCAAATGAACACCTTTCGCCGCCGAGATAACAGGACGTCCAACATCGACGTTACGCTTACGACGGCTGACATCGGACATAAAGTTAGAAATTGGCAGGTCAGTGATGAAACTGACAGTGATCATAGGGTAATCAGTTACAACCTACTCGTCCGTAAACCGCCCCCGAGAATCCCGGGGCCAGTGCGGTACAACGCTAAGACAGCGGATTGGGATCTATTCAACACTACCCTCCTTGGCGAGGTAGGCCGCATCCCTTGTAACTGCATTAACGCTATGGCGGCGGGCATAACCCGTGCTCTGATTACAGCTGCGGATAAAGCCATGACGAAAAAGAGACCGTCTGGTGGCCTGGGCAAGAACCCATGGTGGTCCCCAGAGTTGGCATCACTAAGAAAAGATCTGGTCCGTAAAAGACGCCAAGGTCTTAACAGACCGGAGTACAATATACTTAGAAACAGTTTCCTGTCGGAAATCAGAAAGCACAAAGCCGACACTTGGAAAAACTATGCTAATGAATTGAACACTAATCCTTGGTCCAGAGCCTTCAGCTGGGCCAAGAAAGGCAGTCGACCAAGATCGATCCCGAGCACGCTCACGAAAGAAGACGGCTCTCAAACCGTTGACTGTCTGGACACAGTCGAATTGATTTTGGACAAGTTTGTGCCGAGAGACCCGCAACAAGGCGAACTGGTCTACCAGGGCCCTCTGGAATATACGGAGTCCCTTGATCCGGAGTCTATAAAAGTGGCCATATGGCGAATCAAACCTTCGGGCGCCCCTGGAATGGACGGAATTTCGGCCCGGATGCTCAGGAAGGCTTGGCCCACGCTCAGAGAGCCGATAACGCATCTCTTCGGCCAGTGCGTCAAAGCAGGTCAATTCCCTGATTGTTGGAAAACGGCGGAGCTGGTACTGGTTCCGAAACCTGGTGCAACTGACGCATCTCTGGTCAAGTCGTTCAGACCAATCAGCCTGCTTCCCGTCCTTGGGAAAACACTTGAGACTATAATAATAGGTAAAATTATAAACGAGACCACCTTGGACACGCACGTAGAACAGCACGGCTTTACGACGGGTAAATCCACCTCCGGTGCTCTGGAAGCAGTCTACGACTGGGTCGACGCGTCCAGTTGGCGGCATATCTTTGGCACCTTCCTAGATATCACGGGCGCGTTTGACAACGTGAAATGGTCTCCTCTCCTATCTCAGCTCATTCACCTAGGGGCCTCACTTGGGACAGTCAGAATTGTACAGTCATACTTGACGAACAGATGGGCCAACTTCCACATGGAAGGGGTGTGGTACAGGCGCATGCTGGAACGAGGATGCCCTCAAGGGTCCCAGCTTGGACCAACACTCTGGAAGGTCGCAATCACACCAATATATGGCTCAGTCATTAGTCCTGACAGTACGAAGATACTAACGTATGCTGACGACATACTGCTCATGGTAGGGGCTGCCAGACCTAAGACAGCCTTTACCCGAATAGAAAAACAATTGGACAAGTTTACTACATGGGCAACAGAATTCGCTCTTGAGTTCTCCGCGGGGGAAAACTCAGCTCCTCTCCCTTAAAGGCGGACTGAAGCCTGGATACAGTATCGCGTTTGGTACAGCAGCCGACGCGCCTAGGATTGAGTCATCTCCTACGGCAAAATACCTTGGTGTCGTCCTTGACCCAAGACGAAGCTATTGGGACCACGTCTTGTCGGTATGTAAGAAATCGGATGACATGTACAGCCGACTTAGAGCCTTGTATTCGGCAAATTGGGGCATGGGCCAATCTGCCGCCAACACCATATATAAGGGCGTGTTCCTGCCCAGAATCGCGTATGCAGCGGAGATTTGGGCTGAGGGATCGAAACTACGCAAGAGCCGGGCGAAACTCCTTAGCGCTCAAAGGAAACCATTGTTGGCGATAACCGGTGCATACAGAACTGCCTCGACGAATTGCTTGTCAGCAGTTGCAGGAACTCTCCCGCTTGACCTGGAGATTAGGCACCAAGCGGCATTGAGAAACCGGGCCCGAGAGAGAATATCAGCCGACGAAATGGACACGATAACATACGAGCTGTTAAATGAGTGGCAGGATAGATACACGAGCACAAACAAAGGTAGTTGGACGCAGAAAATGATACCGTCCGTAAGACAGCGGTACCATCTACCTCTGGACCTTGACCACTACACCACTCAGTTCCTCACCGGTCATGGGGACTTTAAAGCCAAACTCTATGGTTTCAAACTGGTAAACGACCCGATCTGTGCATGTGACCGCAAACCGGAGACAGTGAACCACGTCCTCAGGTTTTGCCCAAGAACTGCATCAGCGAGACGAAAATTGAAAATAACAATGAGAGAAGAAGGAGAAGCGTGGCCTCCAGAAAACGGAGCCTTCCTCAAGTCTCGCAGAACATTCCAAGCCCTTAAGTCCTTCGCGAGAGAAGCACTCACGAACAGGATCGACGGATAATCGAATATGGGTGATAGACCCAATGGGTCAGAACGCTGCCCCGTCCACGACGGAAGGCAAAGTCTCGGGGTGTTCCCGATGAGCACGTAAGGCGTAAGTGGCAGAAGCGGGGGAACACGCTCGAGCGCGTTCTGGCACGGGACGTGCTCATACGTCAGGGACGCGTAGTCCGGCCCTGTTGCGAGGGCCGTACAGAATTTCGCATCAGTATTCCCTGCTTGTCGTACAAGGCGACTAAAAGGGAATTGACCAGTCGGGGTCGGCGCCCGGGGCGCGAACGCACCGAAACCTACGGGGATTAGGGCGTTGGGAGGTTCTGACCGTGACCTCATGAAGAACGGGTCGGTCACTGGGCTTAGCCACCTGGTGACGCCTCTGGGAGGCGGAGTTTTGGGGCCCACCGTGAGCCCGTGGTACATGGCCCAAATCTCGGAAGGACCATAAACTGAGGCAACTTGCCGACGAAGCTCCGTCCGAGCATCCGACTATTGATGTGCCTTACCTTACCTTATGGTGCTTCGGGATGTGAGGGGGCCCCTCGGTGTTGAGAGATTAACATCGAGCCCTCACACGTCGGTCGTGGTGGACACTGCCTCGTCCGACGGCGGTTTGGTTTCGAAGTGGCAGTTTGCAGGAGCATACTATGTGGTGATAGGCCACACGCTTGGCCAGGGGAAGGCGGCCGAGTGACTGGACCGGGCGGACTCGTACGGCGACAGTCGGCCGGGAAAGCACGGCCCTCCTTAGCGCTGACCCAGCTTATCGTTGGAGCTATATGCAGCGAAGGTTGTCCGTGACCAAAAACGGAAAGCAAAGTGGATAGATTGCGGCCTCACCAGGGTGGCGAAAGGCACCTTGTATGCCCTAGCCGGATGGTACGGTAGCCGGCAAATAACTAATAACCGGCCGCGGACAGCTTCGATGAAATGACCCGTAGTACCGGACAGTATATCCACTGGGCCGGTGCACGGTCGCCGGTTGGGCAACCGACCCAGCCGGTGGTGCTCTTAATTTGAGTTAGGAGCACGGGCGCCGGAGTTCGCTCCGTCCAGCAGCCGGGCGTCTCAGCGTTAGTCGAATTCGGGCATGTCTCCGGGACACAGCGGTGAGTGTTGCGGGCTCGCGGTTGACGGCTCGTCTGCTTAGAGCTCCTAAGTCGGTAGGCGGGGGTGGTCGCCGCAAATTGTCCTACCTTTGACAAAAAGGGAGGGCTGTTGCCAGCCGGGACTTCGAGCCAGGGCCCGGTAGGCACCCCGGGTCTTGCTGGTGGCGGCCCGAAAGGTGTGATGGCCGTGATTAAGTTCGCACCCCGTGGACGCTCGTCCGCGGTAAAGGCATACCAATGCCTGTCTTGCCGGACAGAAATGGTAGAACCCGAGGGTTCGGAAGTCTGACTGAAGACGTTTCAGTGCCACGGGTGTGAGCGGAGTCCCGTCGGCAACGGCGCCGCTCACCGCGGGCGTCCAGTGTGGTTCACGCCCATGGACGCCCGTTGCCGGTAGGAATCGTGGTGGCGGTATTCGTACGAATACTTTGTGGTTAAGTCAATCGATGCTTCCGCTGACAGTCGAAAGCCTCTGATGAATGGCCGCCTCGGTCCGGGGGCGCGAGTTTCCGGGACGCTGTCGGTTCCTCTCGGATGTCTAGTCGCTATACCGGTGTAGTATCACCGGAGGTTGTGTGTAACCAGAAACACTCGGTGTGGGGATAGCGCACAGCCAGACCAGGCGAATTCAGGCGGCACACGGCCTGTCTTCTTGGTACGGGACCTCGGTTCCGGTGATCGTGGTCCGTAGACGACGCGCGGCCGGCGGACTGGGCTCCCGTTCGTCGACCGTGAACCTCTGTGTCTCGTAACTAGCGCACAGCGCTAATACACGGTACACAGTTGTAGCCGCAAGGCATAAAACCCTGGATACTCATGTCCCTATCGACTAGTGCCCACTTTGCAGTGGAGTCCGTCAGACGTGTGTTGCTATAGTAAAACGCGCTCCGAGGGGCGCCCTCTAGTGTTAATACCTTGCAGAAGCCGTAAGTCCCTGGATTTTCAGGAATTTTTTGTGTTCTAAGTGCGCTTGAGTTCATAAAAAGTGCGTGTACGGACCGGTGTCGATTTAGAGTCGGTCCGATAAAAATCCCCCCTGTGGGGTACGTTTTTTGTGTACTCCCATAAGGAATATACGGCCGCCCGTTGGTATTGCCGAACGTATTTTTGGATTTCGTCAGTAACGAGACCAGGAGTCAAGAGCCTGACGACGTGAGTTCGGCTCTTATATAACGTACAATTTGTAATACGTGACCCCCACCTAGTGGCTGGTATAGGTAGTATACCACCCCCCACCTTAAAGTTTAAGTGGCAGTAACTTCTAAGTGAAAAGGGGTACGGACCCCGGACCCAGGGGAACCCATTTTTAGGCAGAGCAGAGTATTTCCCGGCAATCGGGAACAAAGCCCCCACCCCCCACTCTTTTGAGTTGAGTATAACTCAGCCAGTTTGAGACGTAGAGCCCCCGGAGCAACGCGGAACTACAACCCTAGGGTATGACTACAACTTCCCACAATAGGGAACGGGGCACCCCCCCACCCCCCTTTTTGGTTTTCGGGTTTTTGACGGATATCGATCCGGAGGGCCATTTGCTCCCATACCCCCGCGGGGAAACGCGGGGTTTTGAATACCCACCCCCCCAGAGGGAAAGTAAGCGGATACACCAAAATGGAGGACAACCAATCAGATACAGAGTCACCTAAGCAGGGATCAAGCCAGCAGCAACCGAGATCAGCTCCGTCGCCGGGGGACATGCAGCAAACAAAGAGGACTAAGAGTACACCCACCCCAGGGCCGGTGGCCAGGGTGGCAGGGAAATGGATTAGGCACACCTTGGATTTGGCGTCTACAAGAAAGAACTTCATGCCGGCAGAAACCGTCAGGAATTTGTTTGTAAGATTGGATGAGCTCGAAACAGCGGTTACGGACTTGGTGATAGAGAATCACCAACTCAGGAGCCAGGTTGAGGAGGCCAGGAGGTCGGCGGAAATTTGCGTGGGTGCGGCCGCCTCGCAGTTTGGAACAGAGTTACGTCTTCGGGATGCGGCACATGAACAGACAATGGAGGCTATTATCACGAGATATGCCGAGAAGGAGGCCGTCAGAATACATGAGTTAGCTGCTGCTGTGGCACCGGGGCCGGTGGTGCAGGATCAGGTGGAGAATGTGGGTGTGGCGACCTTTGCGGCAGTCACCAGGAGGAAGGTAGCACGATCAACTGACCGTGCAGTTGATCGCTCAAGGTCAAGGGCAACTCAGCGCAATAGGAAATTGAAAGAGGGCAGGCAGGCGGAACACATGCCATCCTTTGTGTTGCAGGAGACAGAGGGGAAGACTATGACTGATGTACGTGATATGGTTTGGAACTAGGTGGTGTCTAAGAAGGTACGGCCAAGATGCCAGACGGTGACGACGAAGACAGGAAAGGTCATATTGAAACCGTCGGACAGAGAAACTACTGATGCACTAAAGCATATTTCTAGAGTATCCACCCTGCTGCGGGTGGACTCCTTGCGGTGGCCCCGGGTAATAATTCGTGGGATAGGTACTGATACCACCATGGTCGGGACCCAGAAAGACCTGCTGGCGCAGAACCCGGAGTTGGGAATTGATGAAAATGTGGACGAGGAGGTTTTGAGGCCAGTATTCCAAAATGGACCACGGGGTAGGAATACCACAAACTGGGTAGTTGAGGTGAACCCCAAGTATTATTGCAAATTTGAGAATACAACCCTTTATCTAGGGTTCATGAGATGTAGGACAAACGCATATGAGGAGGTAACACAGTGCCATATGTGCCTCCGTCATGGACATCCGGCGGCGAAGTGTTATGAAAAAGAGCAAGTTTGCTCCCATTGTGGGCGTAAGGGGCACAAGGCGTTGGACTGCCCGGCTGCGGAAGCGGATCCGGTATGTGTGAATTGTAGAGGAAAGCATAGTGCTAGGGACAAAACGTGCTCTGCCCGTACGGCGTTTTTGGTGTCCCAGGTCAAGAGGAATGACTACGGGATAATGCAATGAGCGTGCACTCATCACTCAAGATCGTGCAGCTAAATATGGGGAGGTCGTCAGGGGTCAGCGATCAACTTTTGGACTATTGCCAGAGGAAAGCTCTTGGTAATAGCCTTGGTAAATGCCTGCTTTCGTGATGCAGTTTTCCCAGCAATCTGGAAGTCGGCGGATGTTGTGCCGATACTGAAGGGCGAGGACAGGGATGTGACACAGCCAAAGTCATACAGGCCGGTGAGCCTACTTCCAGTGGTGGGTAAAATAGTGGAAAAGGCCATGAACAGGCGGCTTCAGGACCAAATAGGCCGTCATCTCACGGGGAAACAATACGGTTTTACAAAGGGTAAATCTACATTGGATGCGGTGGACAATTTGTTGACGTGGAGTGCCATTAGACCAGAGAAATACGTACTGAGTGTATTCTTAGATATAACAGGGGCCTTTGATAATTTGGCATGGCCAGCCTTGCAAACGGACCTCCAAGACTTAGGTGTAACGCGCCATTTACGAAAATGGATCGAGAGTTATCTGTTGGGACGAACGGCCACCATGACCATTGGAGGGGTCGTGAAAGCGGTAGCGTTCACGAAAGGATGTCCACAGGGATCGATCCTGGGTCCGATACTGTGGAATGTGACCATGGAGGCGCTATTGATGGTCGGCTTCCCAGAGCATGTGGCCATACAGGCGTATGCGGACGACATCGCCATCAGCATCGCTGGCCAAACAAGAGCGGCTTTAATACGACGCACTGAGGAGGCCCTGATACCAGTGCAGGAATGGGCAGCGGACAGGGGTCTTTCGTTTTCAGCAACGAAATCCCAAGCAATGATGACCAAGGGGGGCCTGGTACCCGGATTCACAGTTGCGTTCGGGGAGGACTGGATTACGTCGGTGGACAATGTGAAATACCTTGGACTGTGGCTGGACCCAGGGAGGTCTTAAAGGGTGCACGTTGATAAAATAACAGCCGCTGAGCACTCTTTGTTTTCCCGTCTGCGTTGAGCGGTGGGAGCGGGATGGGGCATTAGGCGCTCAAACCTAATGATCATGTACAGGGGCGTATTCCTGCCCAAAATCGCGTATGGCGTACGGTTTTGGAGTCATGTTTTGACAAATAGTGTTGTTGAGAGGAAAATGGGAACACTCCAGAGAAGAGCCCTAATAGGTATTACAGGCGCATACAGGAGTACGTCCACGGCGGCACTGAAGGTTCTCGCGGGCATACCGCCGCTAGATCTGCAGCTGGCATGGCTTGCCGCTAAGAAAGAGGCCAAGTTACTGCCAGAGATACTCAGAGTAGAGACAATGAAAACGGCTACCACCGTTATGATGGATGCATGGCAGACACGATGGACGGCATCGCAGAAGGGGAGGTGGACCTTTGAGTGCTTCCCGGACATCAGGCGTCGTATGACGCTGCCCATTTCACTGGGCCACGAGATTGCGCAATTTTTGACAGGGCATGGGAATTTTCAGGCCAAGTTATCGGAGTTGGGACTACGCCCGACCCCGCAATGTCCGTGCGGTAGTGGTATTGAAGACGTAAGACACGTCATATATGACTGTGTTATACATAGCGCGCATCGAGCGCAAATGGAGCTGGCGGGCTATCTATGGCCAACGCCGATTTGCGATTTGGTTACGCGCCGAGACACGTACGTTGCGCTAGTGAAGTTCGCCAAAGTGGCGGCATACTTGGAGAGGCCACTGCGGGCAGATTGAACAGGGCGGATAAGACACTCTGCGTGCCAGAGTGCCACACCCTGCATGCGTTCTGGACGAGTGTCGAGGATGAGAGTTAGGCAGAAGCGGTTCGCATGCGGGGCCGCCCTGAGGGGACACTCGTGCGTCGGGGACGCGGGCGGCGCTAACGCGGACAACCGGAGGCGCCGCGGTGACTGAAAGCTATGGCGAGTAGGTCACACCTACATCGGGCCCTGTATCTGGGGCCATGGAAGAATACAGCCACAGTATACCCCGCTTGTCGTACGAGGCGACTAAAGGGGTGGGGTTGCGACCTACGCACCACGGGCGAGCGCCCGGGGTAAAGGCCCACCAAGAGCCTGCTGAGCCAGCAAATCCTGGGAGACTGGGCTTGCACATGTCGAACATCCAACCGATGATGTCCTTCCTAACGGGGGAGAGATCGGTACCACGGGAAGGGGGGAGCCCCACTGTCCCGAGTTATGCCCGGGCCAGTGCCCTCCTACTCTGGGCGCGTGCCGGTTCGCCGTCGGGCGCCCAGTGCCGGTTTGGTTTCGTGGTGGTTGTAGCGGGAGCTACTGTATGGTTCTAGCCAAAGCTGGCAGGTGAAGGTCTTCAGTGAATGGCTGTACCGTCAAGGGGGTGCGAATTCCTTTGGCGTGGCAGTTTCTCCTGGATACTCAACCGGTCTACCGTTGGATACAATTAGCGGAGGTTGCCCGTAACCATAAACGGGAAGTGATGGGATAGGTCACGTCCTCACCAGAGGTGGTACTAGGTGGCTCCAGACCTGTGCCGTCTGGTACGGGGCTACGGCCCCGGTGCTGGTGGTCCATAGACGACACGCTTGGGCGGGGGCGCTTGCCACCCTCGCACGGGTGAACCTCTATGGCTCGTAACTAGTGCACAGCGCTAATACACGGTCCATAGTTGTAGCTGAAAGGCATTAAACCCTGGACACCCATGTCCCTATCTACTATCTAGCGAAACCACAGCCAAGGGAACGGGCTTGGAAAAATCAGCGGGGAAAGAAGACCCTGTTGAGGTTGTCCGAATCACCATGAGGGTGCTCGGGTCCCTCGTGTGTCGGTCTCGAAGTCCATTTCATAAGGACAATGTCAAGCGTAAATTCCCGAAATTGAAGTTTGCGGATTTTGACTTTCTAGGGAGAGAGGTTTTATGTTCACTTAGTCCAACCCCGGAAACCGCGTACTTCATTCTACATTAGTTAAGCAGTAATTCCATAAGAGTTCTTCACGGGCCGAGGACAATTGTCCTTGCGAGGGAGTCAAGTTTCCCGAACCAGTATGTCAATACCGGGAAAGTGTCGAAAGTCTACTGAACCCGACATGGACTCCGGGAAAGTCAGATTGTCGAACCTGTAGAACAATGTGTCCTTTGACTCTTCCCCAGGGGAATGCTTCTCCAGGGAACATTATTAATTCTTTCGCCAAGAATGCCACCGGTTTCCCTTTGATACCCCGTGAGACGGTCATGACGCGCGGACTTGTAATATTTTTTCGAGAGTATTCGGGATTGACGATGGTCTACCGGTTTTAATTTTTCAATTTCAGCTGCCGAACCACTACGCGGCGAAATATTTTATCTTCGGGACACATCCTCGAATTCCCAAATTTTGTCCCCGTGAGTCGGTGTTCGAATTTTATAATTTCATCGACGGCCTGCAACCGCCTCGAAATATTTCTTCAGAGACCTCATGAGAGGGACAAAAAAAATGAATACCCTAGTTCAATCTTCGAAATTCCCGAATATTGTTACCGTGAGTCGGTCATTTTTAATTTTCCCTGACTTCACGACTTCATGACGGGGACAAATTCAACATACATAGTCCCTCGGGAGTGGTTTCGATCGAAATTCGAAAATGTTGCCACCCGACCCGCCGTCGTCGATCGCAGCGCTAGTATCGAGAACGAAATTCGAAAATGTTGCCACCTGACCCGCCGTCGCAACGCTAGTGGCGTGGCGTCATTTTCCAATCAGTTGTTACTGTGTTTTATTTTTTAACTATTTTTTTACGCGGTCGCCGCTGACGTCTACCCGGCAACTCACACTTTGACGTTGCGAATGTCCCCATAGTCGACCACACCGCCAAGCACCGACTTTTCGTATTGCGTGGTCAACCCGCGGTCAATCCTCGAATTCCCAAATTTTGTCCCCGTGAGTAGGTCTTCGAATTTTTATATTTTCATCGACCGCCTGCAACCGTCTCGAAATTTTTCTTCAGAGACCTCATGAGAGGGACAATAAAAAATGAATACCCTCCTTCAATCTTCGAAATTCCCGAATATTGTCACCGTGAGTAGGTCATTTTTAATTTTCCCTGACTTCATGACTTCGTGACGGGGACAAATTCAACATCAGTAGTATATATATACCAGTCCTGACGCAGCACCTTTAAGGATGTAGGTAATTACTGTGAGCTAATTATTTATACAGGTTAGGTACCAGGAAAAACTTAAAATAGCACGGGTTTTAAATTGTGTGCGTGATAGTGCGCCCATCACGGCATCACCGCTGCTGCAGTGTGTGGGGAGCGAAGACAATAATAATAAGTTAATAACACTAAATATAAAAATATTACATACCTAATATTATAATAATATTATTTAATTTTTAAAAATAACCGTATTTTT